ATATTCTAGACAATAGTAATGTTAATATCATACCTCGAATACATAAGGGAGCAAGAAAGAAGTCAAGAAGAGACCTCGAAATTGGGTTCAGAACTCCTTCATTTTCGCCAGTCAACGACTTGGTTGATACCTCGTCCCTACATACTGGTAAGTCCATATCGACGGCATCACTTTGTGGAGATCGGACACCGCATGACGTGTGTACAAGTACTAGTTGCCTGTCTTGAAAGGGAGTATGTCCAAGCTATGCAAAAAAACACTGTCATCGTTTCGTCTCGCAGGCCTCTTATCATCGCCACGAGAGCGCACTACTTAAACTGCATGGGGTCTTTGATGGTACGACATTCCGATACGGCCTTCCCAAGATTACATACAAAAAGCCCATCGAAGCTTTGGTACAGTCCGGCTGTGACCTATCTAAGATATTTCAATTTATCTATGACGAAGTCCCCGGAAAGCCCACATAAGACCTAAGAGATGAGCAGACACAATCCTCGCCGCCGCCTAGCATGTAAAGAAAGCCCCCAAACACCTGATTGTCTCCCCTTTTGTTTTGTATTTCGTCGTACTTGTAGATTTCTCAGCCGGTAGCTTTACCCAGAGAACCAACAACCACCCCGGAAGGAAAATTCTCTGTGCAAACAAATCTGGAATTTCATTCTCTCATTCATGGGCTTAAACCCTACCCAAATAACAAGGCATACACCTAACGTGACTGGTTTCGTACACATCACTTCCATCTTCTCCTCCTTCCAGCCCCTGAGATCATCCTCACCTCGCACACAGGAGCCGTTGTCAGTCATGGAGTTTCTTCTGCACCTCTAACCTATTTTGACACCGGGAGGGGAAATACTCGTAAGGCCTGCTCAAGACGAAAAGGTGTTAAAATCGCGCTCAACCCGCTCAGAGACTCGACCTGAACCTGGACCAGTGAAAGCTGCTTGCCCAGAGGCCCAGGTCCCTCGACTAGTCGGTGAGCATATCTACACCCAAACCCGGGCTTCTGTCACAAAGTAGAGAGGAAAGGGCTCTGGTGTGAATTTCCTCGCATTCACGTCCACCACACTTCAGCAAAATAGAAGCTTGCCCTGAATTGTACCAAACCCTGCAACAGAGACCTCATCAAGCCCAATGAACCCCCCCTCCCCCCCTAAAAAAAAGCAGGAGCTCTCCATATCAAGAACGCCATCTACAGACTGGCGCGTCAGTCTACTCCCGCGTCATTGTCCTCTAAGCGTAGTCTCTTAGGTGAGTCTCAATCGCACATGAAATTTCGTTCATCGGCACGACGAGATGGACTTAAGAGTTGGCAAGTCAGCCTCGGCGGAGACGGTACATGTATTGGTCGTCACCACCAATTCCGACTTTCAAAACACCTAGCTCTCACCGTGAGGAAATCAGAACGAGACGCCAACTAACTCATGCGTACGAAAAGAACAGGGGAGAAAATACATGGGCAAATTACCTCCCTCATTGGCTTCTCCTCAACTAGTCCCTTCTCCCTTTTACCCCCACAACACACACGTGATTCAAACAGAGGAGATTCCCAGATGGCTATACAAAGAGGACCACCGAACGCCAACCTACACGGGAGCTCTTACTGCTAGACAATCTTCAGACGAGTTTTCACTCTCAAGGCCAAACCATCTTCCTCTCCGTCTTGGTGAACCCTTTTAGGGGGGGACTTTTGGTCCTCATAAACAACCCTCTTCCACCATTACCGCCACCACTCCAAGGCCTTTCTTCTTCAGTCGCCGGAAAGAAAGGAGCGTGAGTTCTATCGCTCTTCCGAAGTTCCAGTAGACAAGGATGCATCACCCCCTGAGGACTCAGGATAGCTCGAGGGGTGGGTGTGGAGGGGTGGGGGGTTGGTTTCCTACTCCAATACACAAAGGCCGAGATATCACCAAACGAGACAAGAGAACCTCAACCGAGCCGCGAGGAAAGGCGTCACGACGAGGCAGGGGTAAACACGGACACTCGGGATTCGGTCATGGGCTAGCGTCATCTGCTCGAACCGTCGAAGTGTGTTCACGCAGCAGACGAAATTCTGAAACAATTTTATATAGTGTAATCCCGTCGTTGACCAAAATCTCTCCGACTTGTCCACTGCCTTCGACCCAGCAACGAGTCTTGTACAAGCTACGAATCGAAATTACTCGACGATACGCAGATTCCCTTGGTCAGGAACAGATAACAAGAATCAAGCATCACGCAAATGAAGAATTTGCCCACTGCAAAACCAATTGCAAAGTCTGAAGGATTCTATACCTATCCTTTCCAGAGTATCGTACAGGTCGGGCTGCCAACTCGTCATAGTACAGACGAGAAAACATCCTAGACGAAAGGCCAAAGGGATCTTCGCAAGCTCGCTCGCAGTCAGGTCCTCCCTCCCTGCTATCTTCTCTCTCCCTCACTCTCTGTGCTGGTATCCGTTCCCCTTCTTCATTATCAAGCAAGAAAAACACAATAAAAAGCATCCCTCCACGCCTCACCCCGAGGTTTTTTGATATGTCCCTAAAACTCCAGAACACAATGTGTGCAGCCTTGCTACAGAAAAAGAAACGTGAACAATGGACCGAGAGGCGGTCAATGTCACAACCTGACATAATTCCCATGCCTGCGCTGTTGCCGCCGTAGTCGTTCAGGAAGGGCAATCTAACCCCCCTGAAGGACTTGATGAAACCAGAAACCAGTCGTCGCCGTGTTCGCGCAGGCCAAATCTTGGAACTACTTGAGCATGGAGTGGGTGCGAATGCCCTTGGGGCCAAGCTCGCTACGGAAAAGTTAGCAAAGCTACAATGATACGGATAGTGAAGGTAATGGAGAGGAAACATACTTATAGTCGACTCTGCTTAGGCTGGCTTGACGCTGAGCCTCGAGACCGGCCATATCGAGATTGTGCTGGCAGAAAGCGATGCGCGCAGCAACCTGCGCTCCCAGGAACATGGCCTCCTCGAAGCCGTTCTTGTTCCACTCGCTGAGGTAGGTGGGCAGCGTCGCCAGCTTGATACTCGTGGGCGTCTGGCTGTGGAAGTGATGGCCCGCAACGGAGTGAGTACCGTTAGGACCGGCATCACCGCTGGGACCCGGAGTGCCCTGGTGCTGAGCGGAAGCCGTGGTCGCGGCCTGAAGCAGGGGGTTGACGCCCGAGGAGCCGGCGGCGGCATTAGCAGGGAGCTGGTGTGGGGCGCCCGTGAAAGAGCCCGTAGGAGTCTGTGCACCGGTGCCAGTGGGAGTCGCGATGTTAGACGGCAGCTCCGAGGTGAACATTGTCGCCGTGCTGGGAGAGATGAGGTGGCGAGCCAAGAGGGTCTGGACAATGTTGTCCTTCAAACCACGGAGGCGAGCGCCATTGCCGACGAAGACAAGGTTGTCCCAGCACGGAGGGCGCATGTACATGTCGTCGATGCCTTGGATAGTGCGGTAGATTGTGGTTACGATGCGGTCGATCTCGCCACGGTCAGCAAAAGTGAAGCGCTCGAGACCGACCTCAATATCGCGGCGGATGCGCTTGGCCTGCATCTGAGGAGCACCGTTGGTGGCGGGAGAGGCCTCTGCAGGGATCGTAGCGGAATGGCCGTTTGTGCCATTCGTCTCGGGAGCCGTGACTGGGGCGGGAGCGGGAGCTGCACCATCCGTTACCGCTGCCGGAGCCGAAGACTCAAAGGGCTTGACGTCGCTCTCGGCGGTAGCAGGAACTGTCGCATCGGCGGGCTTGGTGTCATCCGTCATCTCAACGTCCTTGGACTCAGTCGCGCCACCCGCCTCTTCTTTCTTGGACTCTTCCTTGGTCTCTGGTTTGGGCGGCTGAACCTCCTCCATGACGACCTCTTCGAAGTGGAAGGTGTTGTGAGTTCTCTTGGAGTTGGGCAGACGAACCGGCTTCGCAGCCTCGGCTTCCTGAGTAGTCTTGGCTTTTCTGCCACCCTTTTGTTTCTCCTTCTCCTTCTTGGCGAGGAACTCACGTGCATTTCCGCTCGTCACAATGGACGCCACATCGAGAACACCCTCCTCGGCCGCCTTCTCCTCAATCTCCTCCTCGGCGGCAGGAACAATCGGTTGCGCAGTCGGTGCGGCAGGAGGAGCCGCCTCGGCAACAGGTGCGCTGGCAGGGGCTCCTGCCGTCTGAGCTGTCGGGAGATCCATGAGAATAGAGCTGTTTGGCGCATATGGTAGCACCTCGCAGATGTGGCTCTTCTTCAGCTGCTCCGCCATGTCGTATTTGAAGTCCTTGTCCTTGAGCTTCTCAAGGAGCTTGCGCGTGAACATGTCTCCGCCCGAGATGAAGCGCTCCGGGGTCGGGGAACCGAGCTCTCCATGGTTGACCACGCGGCCGTCGTGTATACATGTGACGTCGACCTTTTCGTAACCAATATCCACCACAGTGAGACTGGGCCACTTGAGGCCGTACTGGGTAGCGATACCGCTGTGGATCATGCAGAGGGAAGGGGTGCGAGTCTTTTCGAAGATATAGCGCGCGATCGTCTCGGTGTCGGGGCGGCACCATTGAGGCGAGGCCATGAGCATGATTGGGGTATTGTGGTAGGTGGTGGTGAGCATGCTGTGAACATGGTCAAGGAACGCCAGGAACGCCTCCATATTAACAATGCGACCGCCTATTATAAGACATCAATTAGCAGCCCAAACGTGAAAAGGAGCAGTAGCAACCGAAAAATCGCACCTTGCATAGGGTAGACAGCTCCTTCGTCCGAGTCGGTATCCTCAACCCACTCGTAGTCATCATCGTCGGTCCGCGGGCCATCGATGGCAAGCGCGACATTGGCATTGGCCTTCTTGCGCTTAAAGGTGTGAAAGGGCCGCCACTCGTCCGTCTCAGCGTCCTTGAACATGCGTGTTGGGATACGATGGACGGGCGGGGTGAGCTCGCCGCATCCCAGCTGGGCCATGGTGGTCTTGCTGCCGGGACAGATGATGAGGACCTGGTCCTCGCGGAACTTGCCCGTCTGAGTCGACATTTTGCCGGCGCGCGAAGCTTTCTAAGCACCGCTGGGAGTGTCCGTCAAGTTGTCGTTGTTGTGCGCGGAGTTTCCTGGCGTGCGCGGGGTTTTGGCAGCGCCTTTTCTCGGAGTCTTCGTGGGGGTAATAAGAATCGTGGGCTGGCGAGGGCGCGGACGAAGTCGAGTCGCGTAAGAATTGGCGACGTGCTCAGAGTCGCTATCGCTGTTGCTGCTTCTGCTGCTGCTGCTGCTGCTGTTGGCACCTGGGCTGCCACTGCCACAGCCAAAGCTGGAACTGGCTGGGAAGGTACCATGGATGGTCCGAGCCACAGACATCGCATCATTGTTTCTCCGAGCTCTGCAGCCATTGCAGGCACATCCCACTTTGGTGTCTGAGTTGATTCTCATCTTGAGATATGTTGGGGTTGTGATGTTTGTGTGTGAGGAGAAAGAGGTTGATGATAATTCCGCAAATCTCAAAGCGTTAATGGAAAAGAAGGGATTGAGGTCAAAACAGGGCATGGAGCAAACCACCACCCAAACGGACCACCTAGGCAGAGAAAGGCACCCGGCCCTTTGCCTCGAGCTCTGCCGACTTCACCTTCATGAACGGCTTCACCTTTGTACGCAAGGCATGTAAACATGTGACTTCACAATGCGAGTGTGAGATCTGGAATCACGGCTAGTCAGATTGGTCTGAATGATTGATCATTATCTTTAGGCAATAAGTCGAAGACTAGGCTATCTGTCCTAGGTGACCAGGGGCACCCCTTTTATAGCAGTCCAGCTCCATTGAATTCTTTCACAGCACCTTGTTTGCTGTAAAGCATCGCCCCGATATCTACACACAATCCGGTCTCCAATTCTCTTGACCTTGTTGACCCTCAGGTACACTTCTGTGCTGGCCTTCCCCATGGTATGGTGTTGTTGGTGCCTCCTTTTGCCGGCCTATTTGTTCTGTACACCCATAAACGCCTTTTGCCTGTCATAAAGTTGGTCGTGATTTATAAACTGTGTGGTATCCTTAACCGAGGATTCCAGTCCCAAAATGTCCCAAACGCCTGGTACACATCTTGAGTGATGAATGTGACACCTGAAGGACCCCCAAAAGGTGCCATGGCGCCTGTGTCGCTGAAATGACTAGAAATAAACAAAAAGAAAAAAGAATGGTATCATGCGACATTGACTGTCTGGGAAGTGATGTGTCTCGACTCAAAGCTTGTAGTTTCCCTCAGGGATGTACCCAAGGGGTTCATGAAATCTTCCTCATCCGGGAAGGCTCCAGGTGCCATGGGCGTCGCCTGCTCAGGCTCCTGGATTGTAGGGGTTTGAAGGGAAGACACATCCTCTGTTTGTGACCTCTCAGTCAATGCAGACTCTGTTGTCTTCTTCTCATCCTCGAAAACATCCGGGGCCGTTTCTTGAATCGATGGAATATTGTCCATACCGCTTCGGATAGAGGCTGAATCGATGGATTGTCTCGGCGAGAGGGTGAAAGAGGCCTGCATGGGGCTGTGAAGATGGCTGACGTCTCCGATGTCGCTCTTGCTGGCCCGAGAGGTTCTCATGGGGCTTCTGGCAGGCAGAGGAGGAGGGATTCTTTTGGGGATGGTAACCAAAGCGCCCTTGGCGTGAATAGGGGCAGCCATGACGACTGCAGCAGGCTGAACAGCTGCAACCTCGAAGATAACAGGCTCTTCGAAGTCGTCGTCTTCTTCCTCATCCTCCTCATCATCAGCATCGACGTTTGGCTCATCCTTCTGGATATCCTCCTTATCGTCGTCGTTTCTGGAGATGATGCTAGCATCGTCCTTTGTGTAGATGCTGGAAGCCTTGGTAGCGGCGTCATCCATAGTGCTGACATCGGTGCGCAGGTGGTCATCGCTGTCAGTCATGACGGTTCCTTCGATCGAATGGCTTCCGCTAATTTGCCTCAACGGAGTCAAGTCAATCTTGGTGTAGTCAACCTCCTCAGGCTCCTCCTCTTCCTCTGGCTCCTTCAGAACGGGGAGGCTATTAATGGAAGCGCCATCTTCGCTCTGGCTCTGGCTCTGGCTAGGTGAGGTGAATGGCGTTCCTGTCTGGTTTGATTGTGTCCAAGCCTCGGACATCTTAGTGCGGCTGGTTTTGGTAGACATCAGGCTCCCTCGGTTACTCTTTGTCGTGAAAGTCTCGCCGCTCTGCCTGAACTTTGAGAATGCCGGGCTTGAGGGAACAGGGTGGAATTCGAACTGGTTGCTCGTAGGTCGGAGGCGTGTGCCAGCCTCTCGAATCTCTAGTCCTGCCATCTCCAGAGCCAAGACACCGAAAGGGTCAGGGTCCTCAGTGTTGGGGATGCCGAAAGGAGTCTTGGGTGATGCTGGCGAGCTCCTAGGCGTTTCTATCATGGCGTCTCCTGGTGCTGGCAGTGCCGAAAGCTTCTTGAGGATGGCTTGGTCGGCATCGATCCTTCCTTCCGCCTCCTTAATGACTTCGAACAGAGGGCGTGTCTCCTCCACGTGCCTCGACACATTGCCTGCAACCACGTCCATCGCTGTTACGTTGCCACCGTAGAATCTCTCATTTTCGTTGGCTCGTTCCGTCAAGATGCAGCCATTCAAGTTAACGTTCTGAGTCTGTCCTCTCGCCTTCATGTATGTCAGAACGGTGTTGTCGAGGTCCTTCCACCGGCTGTCGACCTCTGTAGATTCCAGTGGAACCAGCGGTCCACAAGTGAGGCCGATGTCCTCTCCCAAAGTCAGAGTTGGTTTAGTTATTAATGATTCGAGGGCGGCAATATTGTTGATTACCAGGACACAGTCGTAAATGTCAATGCCCATAATAAAGCTTAGTGAAGGCGTGTGGAGTAGGATGCCCGAAGGTGGCGACCAGGTGCCGTCAGCTTTTCGAGCAATAAGGATGCCTGAACCGCCTGATCCGGTCATCCACAGGCCGGATCGCATGCAGGTGAAAATGGCGATACCTGCTGCATTTTGTAGGATACGGGAGGGGATCTTTTTGAAAATCCGTGCTGGAGTTTTTGGTTCGGCGTTGGGATCGCTACTCGGCTGGTCGTCCAAAGGTGCGAGGAATCCGTCGGCTAAACGAGCACATTGGTGTTAGTGAGGAATCGCGGCATGATGCGGTCGAGCTTCAGCAATATCGTGAATCTCGCCAAAGCATACTCACAACAAAATGACTTCAATATGCGAGCGGCGCGCTCGCATTCGGCATCGAGGGTAGCGGGCCAGAAAGCCTCCCGACCAATTCGTGACGTTGTCGCTGAGACGAGGGCGTTGGTGGTAAGCGGCGCAGGAGGCTTGCTGGACCAGCGAAAGACCTTGTCGAGAGGAGATTTGATACTGCTTGCGGTGACCACACTGCTTCGGCCATTACTTGTGGTGCTGGCGTTGCTGGTCCGCCTTCTGGCTTCCCAGGATGGGAGAAAGCTCGAAACTCGTTGCATGGTGTTCGTGGCCCAGATTGGCGGTGGTGGGCTTATTATGGGTGTTGGTGATGTCTTCCTGTCCCCGTTCGCGGATGAAGACGGGGGTACGAACGCAGCGACATGCGTCAAGGTATTCTGCGGTGTTGCTCATTCACAAACACCCAGAAACTCCAGCTCTTACTCGATCCCGCCGGTATGGGAAGAAGTTGAAGAAGCAGGAAATAAAAGGCAGATGAGAGATTGGGGGACGAATTGGGCTTTGTTAGACAGGATCAGTCCAGGTCCACTGGGGTCAACTCAGCCTCCTCCACTTTGCGAAAGGCCGGGCGAAGCAGCGATTTTTGCAAGGTGCAGCGCAGGAGCGACAGCGGATGGCATACGGTTTGTAGCAGCGGCAGACTCACGGTTCACCACCCAAAATGCAGCGGGAACTTGAGATGGGAAGGGGAGGGGGGTGTCGTGGACTCGTGGGTGTGTGGGAACGTGTGTAGGTTGCGGGCCAAGCGGGGAGCAAGTGGGTGTGTGTGGTTGCAGACGGGGTGGGCGGAATTTTGCTGCTTGGGTCCTTGAGAGAGGGGCGTGGTTTGCCGACAAGGGAGGGGACGGGAGAGGCCTTGACAGAGTTCAGAGAGAGAGAGAGAGAGAATGGCGAGAGGGAAAAAGGAAAGGTCTGAAAGTGGTTGCGCGCAGGTGACGTGGGCGACGAGGATGACAAGAGACGAATGATCCCTGTCACCCTTGTTCGTGGACGGCGCCGGGCCAGATGGGCCATGGCTTGCTCGGTCCCAGGACCAGCATTTTGTTTTTTTACACCAGACCAGACCAGACCAAATCAGACAAGACAAGACCAAGTTCCTAAGACCAGAAACAAGACCTAGCGGTTCGCAGGCTTTGGTGAGTCTTGGACTACCTACTTGAACGGCAGACCCGGGGCCGTCAGGATTCCGGAGAAAGCGCCCGGTGGAGGCAAGAGACGCGCTTCACAACATGAGAGAAATGGCGTAGAGGATGAGGCGAGTATCCGTAATGAGATCGGGCAGTTCAGGTTCTCATTCTCAGCCAGAATGGGCCGCTAGATGAACTCAGCCAGACAAGCCCGGGACATTGAGGTGCTGTAAGTTTGACAAGGTACCTCCACTGTCTATCTGTTTCCATACGTACTTACTGTGCAGTGACCTGGTAACCTTATTCAAAAGCAGAAGTGTCTGTTTTGCCCTGCGTTGAGTAATTAGGTGTTGCCTCGTGCGCAGAGAGGATGATGCGATGACTGAGACTGGGGTCAGGGGACCTCTACGGCAGCGGGAAGATGGCGGGATGCAAAAGGGTGAAGTCTCTGAGGTAAGGGTGACCACACGTGTTTTTCACACGATTCACAACTGGGAGATGTTTGTACCTGTCACCTACCACCTCATCAAGTAAGGTACATTCATACTTGGCAGTGCGGGCATACATCGCGGCATACGTTGGTAGACTCGAATCAGGCAAGGTGAGGAGAAGATTGAGAAAATTGGGTGAGCAACTGACCCAAAAGTCTGGCCCGATTCAGCGCATGCTTTAGGTATCTGATGCCTTTCAGGTTTGCACATGTCCCAGGGTACGTCAACCTGAGGCGGAGCCAAACTCTCAGCTGAGGTATTCGCAACCTAACCGCCGAGTGAATCCGTAGGTACCGAAACTTGGGACTCAATACGTATTCGCACCTTAGACGCTGAGGTGCGTACGAATTCCTCAAAATGATCAGGCAGGCACTACACGAAGTAGTGCAGCCCACGACAAACATACTCACATCGATGATGAGTTAGGTACCGGTATCCGTACGCGGGACTAAGACAGAGCACACTGCGTCAGGTACTTACCTACGTTCCTTGGCCGGGGGTTTTCATCAGCGCTGCAGCTCGGGCAGCCTTCACTTGCCGGTAGCTCCACGGTCTGCAGCCTGACCTTGGAGCAGTGGGAGCGAACTTGGCTACAACGGGACTGA